AGCAACCCATGTTTTCAGCAATCCATGTTTGTCTACACTCATACAAAATCTGGGTTAGAGTTCAGACTGGCTATTAGAACCCTCTGTCGGAAATTGAGTTGATGGGAAACAATTAATGGTTTTGTTCACTGCAACCCATGCTTGTCTACACTCATATAAAATCTGAAAAGGTTAGAGTTGGTGTTCAGCAACCCATGCTTGTCTACTTGTCTCATAAAAATCTGGGTTAGAATTGGTGTTCAGCAACCCATGCTTGTCTACTTTCATAAAAATCTTGGTTGGTGGTTAGCAACCCATGCTTGTCTAAACCGGTAAAAATCTACCCATAAAATCTGGGTTAGAGTTGGTGTTCAGCAACCCATGCTTGTCTACACTCATAAAAATCTGGGTTAGAATTGTTCAGCAACCCATGCTTGTCTCTAAAATCTACCCATAAAATCTGGGTTAGAGTTGGTGTTCAGCAACCCATGCTTACTTTCATAAAAATCTGGGTTAGAGTTGGTGTTCAGCAACCCATGCTTGTCTACTTTCATAAAAATCTGGGTTAGAGTTGGTGTTCAGCAACCCATGCTTGTCTACTTTCATAAAAATCTGGGTTAGAGTTGGTGTTCAGCAACCCATGCTTGTCTACTTTTATAAAAATCTGGGTTAGAGTTGGTGTTCAGCAACCCATGCTTGTCTACTTTCATAAAAATCTTGGTTAGAATTAGTCTTCAGCAACCCATGCTTGTCTAAACCCGTAAAAATCTACCCATAAAAATCTGGGTTAGAGTTGGTGTTCAGCAACCCATGCTTGTCTACTTTCATAAAAATCTTGGTTAGAATTAGTCTTCAGCAACCCATGCTTGTCTAAACCCGTAAAAATCTACCCATAAAAATCTGGGTTAGAGTTGGTGTTCAGCAACCCATGCTTGTCTACTTTCATAAAAATCTGGGTTAGAGTTGGTGTTCAGCAACCCATGCTTGTCTACTTTCATAAAAATCTGGGTTAAGTTGGTGTTCAGCAACCCATGCTTGTCTACTTTCATAAATATCTTGGTTAGAGTTGGTGTTCAGCAACCCATGCTTGTCTACTTTCATAAAAATCTGGGTTAGAGTTGGTGTTCAGCAACCCATGCTTGTCTACTTTCATAAAAATCTGGGTTAGAGTTGGTGTTCAGCAACCCATGCTTGTCTAAACCCATGAAAATCTAGGGTAGAATTGGTTTTCAGCAATCCATGTTTGTTTAAACCCATAAAAATCTAGGGTAGAATTGGCCTTCAGCTTGTCTACACCCGTCGAAATCTGTATATAATTTAAGAGCTTAAGAGGTTCACTGTAAAAACTACGACAGTCAGACTGGTACTATTAGAACCTTTGCTCTGGTCGGAAATTGATGCTGCAACATGTCAGTCCTGCTTAGTCCAGAGACAAATCCGAATTTTGAAGAAGATATGATGGACATAATATCCTATGAAACAATTAATTGTTTTGTTGACCACTGCTACCCTGCTGTCAATGCCTGTAAAACTACATCATCTTCACAGCTGCTCCTGGAAACTTGATTTAATTTGTCACATAACCATCCATTCCACTACCGATCTTGGCAATCATACACCTATCCACATCACCAATTAGGGATGAATAAACAGGCCACAATGGGACTTGTTTCCACGACAACAAGGCATAAACACATTCATCTCAGTGACAGCTGCCTGACTTTCTGTGAAAGGTTATGTGAGGAAATAGAGTAACTCAGGTAACCAGTTAATCACATGTTGGACTTATATCTATTTAAACGATGCATATGCATTTATTACTTATCCTAAGAACTTAAATATTTGTGTGATAGACTAGGAAATGATAGTTAGATAATCTTATAAGAAAATGTCATCTGTGCATTAGGAATGAGAGATTTGCTGGATTGGTTTATGGTATTTTCATGAAACTATTCAATCTGCCCTTCATAAATATACATTTTTACCTTTTAGAATATATTCAAATGTATTATTTCCCCCTGAAATAATAATAATAATAATAATAATAATTTAAACGTGAAGCGGGGGATATAGTATTAGGCTCCGTCCATACGTATGTACATACAAATTGGAATATCTTAAGAACCGTTAACTAGATTCGTTTCATGCTTGGTACCTAGGTTCATCACAGTATGCGAAGGGTCCCAGTCGGCTTTGGTGACCTTGACCTTCATTTCAAGGTCACAAGGGGACTTTACCCTTGTCAGCGAGATATCTCAAGAACCGTTGACTGGTTTTCTTCATATTTGACACCAAGCTTCATATAGGGAAGGCGCAGGGCCCAGTCGATTTTGGTGACCTTCATGTAATTTTCAAGGTCACGATGACACTTCGAAGATTTCAGCATGTTAAGATTGTCAGCAAGATATCTCAAGAATGGCTCACAGGATTTTCTTCATAGACTTTCAGGGCTTCTCTTGAATGTTTTTTTTATAGGAAATTTCTTTATTACTATTTTTGCATTTTTCATACACCATGACATTCATGTCAAGGTCAAAGAGTGTCTGGAAAATATTTGTGTGTTTGAACAGCTACAGAGCAAGATATCTAGAGAGGTTGGCTGGTGATGTTTTTGTTGACATTTAACTTTATCTTAAACTACGACCTTCACTTTCATTACTTTTTAAGTTTGATTTGATAATTTGGGGTGGTGGATTATGTCCCCTTAGTGACAACTGCTTGTGTTATAATAAAATTACATTTTCTCAGTAAAGCAGAATTCTAGTACTTTTTGGGTGTGAGTCCCAAGCTGGATTTGAAACCACTCTCTGAGAGTAAGGCACCAAATTACCAACTCACTGAGTCAGGGATCTAACCCACTCAGTCATCAAGCCTTCCACAGATATTAATCTGATCGAATAAGGGATGGGACTCCAACAAGTACCAGAATTTTTACTTACCTAAGAAAATGCAATTCCAAATAAAAAGTTAATTTAACCAAAAATAGTCACCCCTTGCAATTATGCTCTTTGGAATACTGTGGTTTCGATTAGACCGCTAGGTAATCTGTGGCTCCCATAAAAAAAAAGTTCATCAAAATATGCTCATCAACAAATCCTCTGTGGTGCTCTGGTTATTCATGTTGTTCTTTGTACATATCCCTGTATTATGGATTTTTAGATGCTTAAGGAACATTCTGGTTTTTTTTTATTAATCATACAAACAGCAGAATATCGTACTAACTTGTGAAAAACAACTTTATCATAAAGCAATGCCATCAGCTCAGTATTTACAATGTTTGCATGATGAAACACACATTGTTTTAGTGCGAGTAAGCACTGCCATCCCAAATCTGAAAACACATAATGCAATGATTTTCATATATTTAATTTAATTGGACTAAATCTAGACCTTTTCATGCATTAATAACTGTTTAGAGTAACATTGGTGAATATACGCAGGACATGGCTCATTTGTTACTCATCCAGCTCCCGCTTACCATGCTCGTGAGGATCTGCTTTTTGCCTGTACTGTGAGAGCACCCATTTCACATTATTTATCTTAGTTTTGAATGGGCACAATAAACGAAATAGGAGTTATGCCTTTATTTCATGTTATGTACATGCTTGGGATAGCTGTAATCATGATCCTTAACTTATTTTGTTCTGTATAGTTGTACCTAAAGTGATCATCTTGAAGTCAGGAGTAACGGCATTCCACTGCATATAACAATACACAGTCTAATAATATATGGCTAGGGGGGTGATGATGATTTTTATGGAGAGTCATGTAACCCCCCATGTCATGTATAAAATCAATGACCGCCCCCACCCCCTTCCCATAATTTGTAAGCATGATTTTTAATATGTTTATGTACAAAATTGCTGACCTCCCTAGTACATGTGTACAAAATTGTGCCCCCCTGAACAAAATGGGTGCCCATCCTTAAAATCCCCCCACACACACACACCACCCTCAGCCATAAATTATGAACTGTCCCTTAGTGATCACAGAGCAGCAGCGTGCACTCAGTATGGTTTTACGCACAGAGAGAGAGAGAGACACAGACAGACAGAGACACAGACAGACAGACAGAAGACAGAGAGAGAGAGAGAGAGAGACAGACAGACAGACAGACAGACAGAGACACACAGAAGACACAGAGAAGACACATGCACACACACTGTGAGGCCATTGGCTTTACATGATATAACTTAGAATTAGTGGATGTAAACACCCTCCACTTTGCAGATGCAACATGAAAAGCATCCTTTGTGTTAATATCTTCCTATATTGTGTGTATAATTATACTGTCTACCAATATTTCTGGTATTATTGATCAGGTATATATATAGTCCTTTGATAAGAGTAAGTGTCATTAGTATTAGCATATCAACTGACAGTCTCTAGTTTGTCCAGTATGATGGAATATGATGGTTAGCATAATGAGCAAAGGAACTCTTTATGTGGCCTGATGACCAGAATGTCTCATATTACCGTTTGACTAATAGATGTGTATTTGTGGATTGGAAGAGTCACCTGGTTAAAGCAACATTATGTCAAACCTCATTCATTGGTAGAATATGTACTGTATTTTCTGCACTATTACCCGCATCTTTTTCCCTCTAAAACTGTCCTAAATGGTGTAAAACTGACTGACAAACTCCTTTGTCAACCATGCTTGGAGATTTCAATCTGTCATTCATCTTTATCTTTTCCATATCAATTACACAGAGTTCATACATGTCACAGCTGTCTACATTACTGCACAGAGCTGTGCAGAGTTGTGTCCCTTAGGCATGTTGGGATCCTATGTTTGCTAGTTTCAGATTTGCCCACGTTTGGGTCTTGCTTTTCGGGGCAATATTTTTGGTGCCTGGTTCTCAAGATCCGCATCACTTTTCTCAGATGTAAAGTTCACATGCTGCGATGGTACTAAAACAGTGATCAAAGTGATGATAAAGCCCACTCACTCGCTCCATTTCTTTGCCAATCAGTAGAATGCAAATGCAGAATGTTAATGCCAATATGATTTGTTTCAGGTGCATAAATGGGTGAATGCAGAATCCATGTTGGAGAAGTGTTTTGTGGGACGCCTCAAAGTAGTGCCACCCACGTCAAGGCGAGGTGAGTAGGCTATAAAGAAATTCAGAAATTCAGAAATAAACAACTGAACCTAGAAAGTTGGTAGAAATGTATGGGGGAGTTGCATGTATGGGTTGATTGTAGACCATATCATTTGGGTTCATTGGAAATCACTGATGAAAGAATGCACTATGTTGTGGAGCATGTCACAATTATTTAGACCCATTATTGCCTGGAAGTCAGGCCAGTACCTAGTCTGTCTCACAGTCCCTGAACCACATTAATTTCCCTACTGCCAAGCCCTAAATAAAGCAAGTCTAGATTTCCTCAGGTCTGAATCTCTGGTCTCCCTAGGGCTCCTTTTCAATATAAATGGGCTTGTTTGTTACTATCAAAATTATATATATTCAGAGACTAAGCCTTAGTCTAGCCAGTACCCATCACGACTTATGGTGGACCGATCATCACACATCGTTTGTAGTGATTAATAAAGTTGATAAAAGTCCAAAACTTTGATGCTTGCAGAAGGGTTTAAACTTATAATATGACTACTTTTGATGTATTTGAAATTAACAGACTCTCCAGTAACATATCATTCATATTCCAAAATAATTATTCTACTATTTTCACTTTGGAAAAGCAGTAAACAGAGTTTTTCTGTGTAAATAGTACAGTTAACCAGCTTCAGTGGCCAAAGGTTAGTGATGTCATTGAATTATGTCAAATGGTCTACAAAGCACTGTTAAGGATGATCAAAGGAGCCGTTTGACTCAAGATCTGTCATCAATAATACTTTACATCTACCTGAGATGAAGAAGGCAATTATGTGTAATATAACTACATTGGACTGACCGAAGTGTTTGAGATTTTGGGTGTTTATTCAGTTGGGGATGATGACATTTTAGTTTAACCTACCCAAACTTGGCGATTGGTATTTTATTTTAAGTAGATTTCTGCCATATTGACATGCATTACCTGAGTTTATGAAATCAAACAGAATTTTCTGCAACTCCATGCTAGAGTCTTACGTCACAGTCTGGAAATGTAGACAGTGATTCCAGGACACTGCTGTAGAGAACCATGTAAATGTAGACAGTCTCCTGGAGTACTGCGTGGCTTATTTGACAACATTGTGGTGTACGACAGCAATCACCCCTTCACCCTCGTAAGGATATGTTTGTTAGTTTTTGGACACTTGTCGCTTGAATTCATCTTATTGCCATATTTACCCTTGAAGAAGGAGCACTCTCACAGCCCATACAACAAACTTAGCTCTACCGTTAAGTTGTGTATCTTCTTTAAAATACAGGAGTTTCTAGTAGGACTCTTCACATTCTTGACATCTGGCCAAGTTTGAAGTTGGTGCCATGGTGTTTACTTACTGCCTTTCTGCGTGTTTATGAACAGAGACTGAGATAGCAATGCAATGACAGGATCACCCTTGAATGGCAGGAGTTGGCTACTGCTGTGTCAGTTGTCTCATGCTCAGGTTGAAGAAGGTTTATAAAATGAAAATGATGGCCAGCTAAATTGTATTACTGAAGCAAGGAGTTTCTAAAAATCACAAGAGATGTCCATGAACCTGTTTAAAACAGCAACAAGGCTACCAATTGGGTTTTTTATTTGAGGAAGATTTTCTTTAAGTTAGTTCAGCATGTGCAAAATGAGAATGCTATAAAATTGAGTGAGGAAGAAAAAGAGAGAAAGAAGTAAATAGAGCATAAGATAAGTGAGAGAGCAAGAGAAAGATAATGCATGAGAGAGATAAGAGAAAGAAAGAAAGAAATAGCGCATGAGAGAGCAAGAGAGAAAGAAGTAGATAGTGCATGAGAGAGAAAGATAAAAGAGAGAAAGAAAGAAAGAAATAGAGCATGAGAGAGAGCAAGAGAGAGAAAGAAGTAGATAGTGCATGAGAGAGAGAGACAGACAGCAAGAGAGAGACAGACAGACAGAGACATGCAAGCAAGCCATTTTTGTTCCTTCTTATGGCCAGTTTCAAGGGTACGATTCAAACTCAGAATTTGATTGGTCTGTTTATTAGACCTCACGTTTCCTATTCAAGTCATGGTATTCATTCCCACGGTATATGTGTGACAATTAGAACTTTTAATTACTGTGTCCAAATGTAAATTCTCATGAAGGTTCGTTCTTCAGGTAAAATAGTTAATTTCCACAAACCAAGCCTACTCTTCAAACCCAAAACCTAATGAATTAAGTCTTTTATTGGATATCAAACTTTTGAATTGCTCCCCTGCTGATTCAAACTGGTTGCCAATCTTGAGCATCATGCTGGTGTTCCCATCATAGGGGATTATTGATGAAAATATTCCTTTGCACGATCCATTTAACACGTTCCATAACTGATACGCTTTTATGTTGAGACAGGGATTCCAATACACTGGTGTAGAGAGATATGTGGAATCAGGAAATTATCTGTCTTAGACAGTTGATTTAGGCAGACAGACCCATCTCTGGTATAAACTAGCTAGAGTATGTCTCCCTCTGTTACACCATTACAGACAAGGAGTTAGGTGGTCAGAATTATTGTTATCCCATTTATTTGCAAATTGAAGAAAAACTTCATTTGTTTTCTATCCTGAAGGAAGGGGCACTGCTTATTGAGCATCAGTGTAGTCTTGTCCGGAAGAAAAGGCAGATTGGCTCCAGTATTCTATACTTCCAGGAGAGCCAGCACAAAATGTTAAAGGGGTTAGATGTTTCTGACTTGAGCCACTTGTCCTTAGCCTGAGTCCAGTAAAGGTCATAACATTTGGCCTAAGGTAAATATATTGGTCCATATAATAACACCAAAAAGGGGTTGTTAGATGTTTCTGACATTAGCCACCTGTCCTAAACCTAGTCTAGTGAAATTCATTTTGGCTTAAGCTAAATACTATTGGTGCATATAATAACACCACAAAGGGCTTATTAGAGTGAGTGAGTGCATTTAGTTTACTTTTACACTGCACTCAGCAATATTCCAGCTATATGGCGGCAGTCTGTAAATAATCGAGTCTGGACCAGATAATCCAGTGATCAACAACATGAGCATCGATCTGCGCAATTGATGACATATGTGTCATCCAAGCCAGGGAGCATGACCACTCGATCCCATTAGTGGCCTCTTACGAAAAACATGGGTTACTGAAGGTTCATTCCAACCCGGACCTTCACGGGTCAGGGCTTATTAGATGTTTCTGACACTTGTCCTAAGTCTGAGTCGAGTGAAATTTATTTTGGTGTATGCTAAAAAATATTGGTCCATGTAATACTAGTAACATAAATAATTACTAAACATGATGCTGAGAGACTTGGCATCAATGCCTCAAAGGTTTGGGTTTGGTATATAATGTCTGATCTGGCTGAATATCTGACGCCTTGGATTATTTGTTTAGCTCCAGTTTGTTTCCTTCTTGAGCTCAACCTCTGGTTTGTCCCCTCCCTTCACTAACACTATTTGTTATTTTCAAAACATTTATATGATTGCTGAAGCACAATGGACAAATACCTCCTATTTGTGTCCTTCCTGTTTAAAAATATAAGAGGCGATTAATGGGATTAGGTGGTCATGCTCACTGACTTAGTTGACACATGTAATCACATCCCAATTACGTAGATCAATGCTCATGCTGTTGATCACTGGAATGTCTGGTCTAGACTTAATTATTGATAGACCGCTATCATATAGTTGGAATACTGCTGAGTGCGGCGTTCAACAACAAACCAACCAACCAACCAATCCTATTTTTAAAAAAAATAGGTTTGGACACGTTTGGGATGATTCCCTGCTGTGATTCCATAGTTGCAGATTAGCAGATTATTATGCAGAAAGGTACCTCTCTTGCAAAAAATCACATTTTCTGTTGAACTCCCGCAGAATTTTGTATTTTTCTGCCTCAGAATATATCTCATACACTGCAGAAGTTTCCTTTTGAGTATAAACATGTACAACTTGTAAGACTGAAAGGAACAGTGATAACTGTGATTTTATTAATCAAATCATTCCAAATAACTATCTGATTTGTTTGTGTTACATGGAAATAAGGAAAAAATAACAGATGATTTTTTAAGCATTTTATGTTCTTAGAAATTGTAAAATGAAATCAATATCCTGATTTCATTTTGAAGTGAAGTCGACTTTTGTGTTATTGATTTTCAGAAGTGCAGTCATGTATGTTTACTCTAGTGATTGCAAATTCACTTCAGTATTCTAAGCTTGCCATGGATAGGTCTCTCAGAAAAAGGCCTACCACATGTAAAACTGGAGCACAAATAGGAAATACTTAGAGCTATGGAGCACAGCCAGATGCCTTGTAGCTTCTTCGAGGATGGAGGATAACAATGTTTTGCAAACCGGGCATTATTGTTATCGATCCAACTGAGAAGGATACTGTCAGAGATCACTTATTGAGATATATAAAACACATTTGTGAAAATAAAGTAGGTGTTTTTTATGTGTTTACCTGATTGTCAGTTTGTTAATGAAACCTTAAACGTTTGCAGAATGTGGTGCAGAATTATCTATAACTGGATGCAGAATTTACATAATTGACAGGAGAATTGACGCAGAATACAGCTGGGACTGACATGCGCCTGAATTCATTTATGTCATACCGTGTTGTGTTTCCAAAATGCAGATTGACAATATTTATGATCCTAGTGGAAAGTGAGTAATGTCTTCAGTTGCTAGCAGTCTCGAATCTCTGGGTGGAGGAGTAGCCTAGTTTTTAAAATGTTTGCTGGTCAAGCAGAAGACCTGGGTTTGATTCCCCATATGGGGACAATGTGTGGAGCCATTTCTGGGTACACTCACTGTCATATAGTCTGTCATACAGACCCTGAAGTAAATATATCCAAGAAAGCCCATGCAAGTCTAGAAATTGTGGCAAGTCTAGATTTCCACAGCTTCAGAAAAATGAAGAAAGTCTCAGGGCTCCTTTTTATTATATTTTATTTTTTTCACTTTGAGCTTTTTTTCTGTAAAATATGTTCATTTCAGAGACTGGTTGTTAGTCTAACTGTCATATTGCTTCAGTTGCTAGCAGTCTCGAATCTCTGGGTGGTGGAGTAGCCTAGTTCTTAAAATGTTTGCTGGTCAAGCAGAAGACCTGGGTTCGATTCCCCATAAGGGTACATTGGGTGAAGCCATTTCTGGGTACACTCGCTGTCATATTGCTGGAATATTGCTCATAGCATAAGACCATACTCACTGTAATCTCCATCAAATGCAGCAGAGACTGGGTGTTAACATGTCATGATACTCACATCTTTGGATCTGTGCTAGCAATATCAATCACTGGATTGTCTGCACCACAGGGAATTATTTCTGTAACATGAGGGGCGTTGGGGTAGCCGAGTGGTTGAAGCGTTCACTTGTTGCGACGAAGGCCCGGGTTCGAGTCCCCACATGGGTACAATTTATGAAGCCCATTTTTAGTGTGCCCGCTGTGATGTTGCTGGAATATTGCTAAAAGCGGCAAAAAAAGATACTGCTCACTCACTCACTCACTCACTGTAACCAGACATGGAACAGACAATCCAGTGATTGATATTATGAGCATGATCCATGATTTGACAACACACCAAGTTTGACAACACACCTACCAAGCAACCAAGCCTGACCAACAGACCCGTAATGGTGCCTTTTGTGAACAGAACAGGTTGCTCTGGATGTCAGGAATGCCAATGAGGGTCAATCAATGTGTATTTTGGATAAAAATGAACAAAAAAGTTACAATATTGATTATGATTAACAATATTGTTTCATTTCAATACGTCAATCGATAGTGACGCATGATGTATTGACCTGAGACCATGGACATTTGTGATGAATTGATAGTTTGATGGTAATTACACCCCTTATGATGTCCACTCATATGGACGCCATTCACTCTTACAGACACTTATGACAAGGAATATTTCATTCCCATTTCGAACACATGATGGTAGATCCATATGAACATAGTTAATAAACTTCAATATTTTGTATTAGCTGTTGTTGTCAGTAGCTCTGAAACGCTCTTTGTTTACCCTCGTTCATTAGCAAGCTTCTATCAATACCCTTTAATCATATTAATGGCATCAAAAGCGTAATAACTGGAGATTGAGGATAATATTTTATGCCCATGACCATATCTCCAAGCAGCTAGCTATTATAGCCACGACTATTTATTGGCGTGTTGAATATCAGAGTTGCTTAACTCTTGTACGCTGACGTTCCAGTTAACCCATTATAAGTGGAGAAGACGGGTCTCCTTAGAAGTCTTTATATTCCGTGAACTCAAATCAATACTTCTCTCTTCTTCAGCCTGTGCGCTTCCACAGAGGGGTTCATAGCAATCCAAAGTGTTTGCAAGGAGAAATTGCTGCCTCAGCAAACATTTTATGTGAATCTGTAGATTAAAATGAACTCTGTTGAGTGATCCAAGACTACAGGGAGAGACTGTTATACTGTATGTGTCAATGACTACCGAAATGTTTCCCTTGGGAGTGGTCTGCCCCAGCAATGGGTGTCAGGCACAATATTGACTTGAGGAATTATTTAATTTAGAACATGTTTGGGGAACGTGTGATATTTTGTTTAGTGTTATGAAGAAATGCAAATCAGATAGGGGTTACTGCAAATGTTAGCTTGAATCTAACTTGTCACTTGTAATATTAACAGTGTCTTCCAACATCTTGAACTGACTGACATGTTGGTGATTGGTGTTCTGGTATTGTCCCTGTGACAAGGTGTAGAAGATGTCTCCAGGGTCCATGCTAGACCTGACTGACTGGATTGTCTCATAGGGAGTCAAGGGTAAAAGAGGTCCTATAGTATCTGTGCTAGACCTGACTGACTGGATTGTCTCATGGTGAGTCAAGGGTGGAAGAGGTCCTATAGTATCTGTGCTAGACCTGACTGACTGGATTGTCTCATAGGGAGTCAAGGGTAAAAGAGGTCCTATAGTATCTGTGCTAGACCTGACTGACTGGATTGTCTCATGGTGAGTCAAGGGTGAAAGTCCTATAGTATCTGTGCTAGACCTGACTGACTGGATTGTCTCATGGTGAGTCAAGGGTGTAAGATGTCTCCAAGGTCCATGCTAGACCTGACTGACTGGATTGTCACATAGGGAGTCAAGGGTAAAAGAGGTCCTATAGTATCTGTGCTAGACCTGACTGACTGGATTGTCTCATGGTGAGTCAAGGGTGGAAGATGTCTCCAGGGTCCATGCTAGACCTGACTGACTGGATTGTCTCATGGTGAGTCAAGGGTGGAAGATGTCTCCAGGGTCCATGCTAGACCAGACTGACTGGATTGTCTCATGGTGAGTCAAGGGTAAAAGAGGTCCTATAGTATCTGTGCTAGACCTGACTGACTGGATTGTCTCATAGTGAGTCAAGGGTAAAAGAGGTCCTATAGTATCTGTGCTAGACCTGACTGACTGGATTGTCTCATGGTGAGTCAAGGGTAAAAGAGGTCCTATAGTATCTGTGCTAGACCTGACTGACTGGATTGTCTCATGGTGAGTCAAGGGTAAAAGAGGTCCTATACTGGATTGTATCTGTGCTAGACCTGACTGACTGACTGGATTGTCTCATGGTCAAGTAAAAAGGGTATAGTAAAGAGACTGACTGGATTCCTATAGTATCTGTGCTAGACCTGACTGACTGGATTGTCTCATGGGGAGTCAAGGGTAAAAGAGGTCCTATAGTATCTGTGCTAGACCTGACTGACTGGATTGTCTCATAGGGAGTCAAGGGTAAAAGAGGTCCTATAGTATCTGTGCTAGACCTGACTGACTGGATTGTCTCATGGTGAGTCAAGGGTAAAAGAGGTCCTATAGTATCTGTGCTAGACCTGACTGACTGGATTGTCTCATGGTGAGTCAAGGGTAAAAGAGGTCCTATAGTATCTGTGCTAGACCTGACTGACTGGATTGTCTCATAGGAGTCAAGGGTAAAAGAGGTCCTATAGTATCTGTGCTAGACCTGACTGACTGGATTGTCTCATAGGGAGTCAAGGGTAAGGAAGAGGTCCTACAGGGTCTGTGCTAGACCTGACTGACTGGATTGTCTCATGGTGAGTCAAGGGTGGAAGATGTCTCCAGGGTCCATGCTAGACCTGTCAGACACGACTGCCCCGAGGGAAGACAAAGTTAGAAGATGTCTCCAGTGTCAATGCTAGACTGGTAGATTAGACTGTCTCATGGTGAGTCAAGGGTAGAAGAGGTCCCCAGTATCCTTTCTTGACCTGACTGTAGAAGAGGTTCCCAGTATCCATGCTGGACCCAACAGACTAGACTGTCTCATGGGATGTCAAGGAAGTAGCAGTTGTTTTCCTCAATAGTCACAGACTATGCAGATTTGCTGTATTTTCCGCATCTCCAATAGCAGTCCTTACCAACTTCTAGACCAGTCCTTCAGTAATTGTCCCTAGCTGTAATCAGTCTTTATGTCCTGATTCTTGTTAACACGATATATCATGAACTGTTGTACAAATGTCTTCAAATTTGGTGACAGCCTACACTGGGGGATTACGCAGACAAGAGTCGATTTGAGTGACCTTGACCTTGTTTTCAAAGTCACCTCGACACTCTGACCACTTTTCAAACTCTTGTTAATGCGATATCTCATGCACTGTTGTACCCAATGTCTTCAAATTTGGTGACAGCCTACATTGGGGGATTATGCAGACACCAATTGATTTGGGTGACCTTGACCTTATCTCCAAGGTCACCATGAGACATTGACCACTTTTCAAACTTATGTAAGCATGATGTCTCATAAAACGTTACATCCAATGTCAATTATGTAGAGAGCCTACATTGGGTGATTATGCAGTCACCAGTCATTTCAGGGTGACCTTGACCTTATTTGCAGCAGGGAACATTGCCATGTTAGTGGCAAACACTTGTCTTTATATGTTTTATGTAAGTATAAAATACATGGTTGAACATTTACTGTTGGACCTGATTTACCTTAGATCTATTGCAATGTAAACTTAATGGGCTTCTCTGCTCAACACAAAAACGTCACTCTTCATGGTAATAAAGAAGTCGTTCATCCATATATCTTGCCCTTACATAAAACTTCAACTTCTAAATGCCTCTGGGAGAAAGTTGTTGTTCTAAGCCCAAAACATTACATAACACTAAATGTTGTCATGTGTATATTACAGATACTTTATAGAAAATACAGCAATAAGAAGGGATATATATTTGCCTTGTATCCATTATGGGAAAGTTGATGCAGCCTTAGTGTCAGTTTTGTAAGTGCCTCTGATGCTTATTACGATGAATGTGGTATGTTAATGTTGAACCCGGGGATGGGGTGGGGCTGGGAGTGGGATCTGCCAGTCGTTTACAAAGTGTGTCATGCTGTTACATGCTGTCATCTACTGGTGTCTGCCAGATTCAGGCGTCCATGTTAAAGCTGGAATATTCGGTACACACAGCCATGTGCTGTACTAAGAGCTGCATAAAAGTCACTTAACCCAGTTTGGTGTTTAATTTGATTTTGACGTTTAGAATGGCGATGGAGAAAATGGCCACTGAGACTGTGTTTATTGTGTTTCAGGAAGTGCGACATCCCGTGGCAGCACCAGGTCCAACACACTCAGCCCTAATGGTGAGTTTGTCCTGCACCAACCCTCCACACCATCAGCTGATGGATGAATTTGTATCTTGAGTGAAGACTCAGAACATTTAGCTTAACATGCTTTTAGAAAACCTATTTGTGTAACTATGTGACAGCTTAACTGTTTTAGATTTATCTTCACTGTGACCAAAACTCAATCTGTGGCAAGACCTTCTAGGTATTCCCTCTCATCTTAGGCACACCTACAGCAGAGATGCTGTGATGTAACTGAAAATGAAAATCGAATGCACGTTGATCCAATAAACAGGGTGATAATTTTGCTTTTTGAGCTTGCACCTTGTGTATGGAGGCTAGCAAGATATAGATATGTGTACATGCATTTTTTTATAACTGAAGTACTGTTCACCTCAGATTCACTTTTTCTGTTTCAGTTTTTGTAAGTTGTGTTAACAATGTTTACATATTTCAGTAGAATGGCAGTTCATCCATAAGCAATCTGCTCCGTACTAATCATGTCCTTCAGTGTTGATGACTCTTAGATCTTATTGTCTGAGCCAAGGTTACATTTTAAAAAAATAGGGCCCAATACCAAGGAACTTGGGCTATGTAACTGATATGCAAGTGGGTGTGTTGGTGAGTGAGTGTGTTGGTGTGTGAGTGTGTTGGTGAGTGAGTGAGTGAGTGAGTTTAACCTTCCTTTTACTCCTATTATCATCATTATTTGATGATTATTCATAAACACATCATCATGATACAGTCAGAATTGTTCAATCAAGTCTTCTTTTACCAGAGATGTCTTATGAGTGTGGAAAAGGTTTTGTTACTTTATGTATGACAGTATTCACGTTATACCAAGATTTGTCAGGTCAGTGTAGGACAATAGCCTGAAATGATGCAGGTTTCAAATGTTTAATACCATTGGGAGACCATCATGCCCAGGTTAGTGCTGTCAAACCTGGAAACTTAATCAGGGTGAACTTGGACTAGAAACTCAAATTTCATTGGATCCTTGTTTGCCTAAGGGGTGCAAATCCGCACAGGGATTGTGGCATCTGAAAGCAGAATCTGTGCCATCACCTGTATTAGTAGGCAAGGTTGGAAAATGATGAAGAAAATGGATGATGCAGTGAACTATTATCACTGTGGGCTATGTTATTGAAGCATTTGTGGTGAAATTAATGAAATAAGCATATTGTCAGCACCTGTCAGAGAGCAGTAGCTCAACAGTCCTTGGAAACAATGACCCTGTGTTGCCATTATGCTTCTGAAACGATTGCCATTATTAAAGCTCTCACAATTAATGGACACTTCATCATTAAGTGGGCGTATGTGGTTTGCAAAGTGGCTACCATCTGCATTGAGTGCTGTAAAAAATTAACCACTACTAGTTTGGAATACAAGAATTAATGCAAAATTAAATAGCACTTTTCGTATTGACATTAATTCCAAAATAAGTGTAATAAAGTGTTCTTCTGATGTCACTTTTCCTTTTTGTTATGATAGAAGTCTAATATCTGTAAATGTCTGAGTGATATGTTTGGAAATACATGATTCATCTATACAGGAAGAAGGCATCTTTCTATGCATTGATCTTAAAGTGATGAGGTGGTGAAGTTTTAGCCTGACGGTCAAAGTGTTCACTTGTCCAGCAGAAGACCTGTACTTGATTACCGGCATGGGTGCAACGTGTTAACACCATTTCTGGTGTCCCCTGCTGTGATATTGCTGGAATATTGTTATTGGCAGCGTAAATACTCACTCACACCCACTCACCCACCCACTCACCCACTCACCCACTCACTCACTCACTCGCTCACTCACTCACTATTCACTCACTCACTACTAATTCACTCACTTCACACAGTCTTAGTTATGACATAGCTTTGTGCTGTTCCTTCAACCGAGTGTGATCTTATTTGAAAATCCGACTATATTCAACTCCAGTAATTGCCTCATCTAATGACCTAATGAGTCATCAGCCTTTGAAGCTTGGTAATTTGAGTTACCAGACAAAACCTAATGGTAATCAATGAGAGCTGAGTATCCAACCAATTGGACATCTGGACTGCCTACAGCAGTTTCAGATGTGCTAGATTACAAATGTATCTAATTGTCCTTACATCCATTGTAAGACAATAACTCTCTCTAATCATCTCTGCTCGGTCATTTGTGCTTACTGATGCATGCAGCTAAAAGGAGGATTGGCAGTCTGGAGAAGAGGAGGACCACTGCTAGCTAGTGTCCTTGTTGGGATACAGCTGATGTGTTGCGTTTTCCTGTGTAAACTATCAAATGTAATGGTCTGAGGTCGTCTCAACCGGTGTTCTGTCATTTGTGTTTACTGGTGTGTGTGGGGATGTAAGTGAGTAAAGAGGAGGAGGCAGAGGTCATGCTATGCTGTGGCTGATGCAGTGCCTGTGTTAAGACACAGGTCAACTGCAGGTGCAGTGGTATGCTGTTGGTTCTATAGCACCTGTCTTGAGACAGCGTTGTGCTGCAGGTGCCCTGTTTAACTGTTGTGGGTGTAGTTCCTGGGTTGAAAGAGAGGTCTCCTGCAAGTGTCACGCTATGCTGTAGCTGATGCAGTGCCAGTGTTGGGACAGAGGTCCACTGCAGGTGCCCTGCTACGCTGTGACCTGTGTAGTGTCAGTGTTAGGACAGAGGCCCATTGCAGGTGCCCTGCTACGCTGTGACCTGTGTAGTGCCAGTGTTGGGACAGAGGTCCACTGCAGGTGCCCTGCTATGCTGTGACCTGCATAGTGTCAGTGTTGGGACAGAGGCCTATTGCAGGTGCCCTGCTACCATGTGACCTGTGTAGTATCAGTGTTGGGACAGAGACCCATTGCAGGTGCCCTGCCATGCTGTGACCTGTGTAGTGTCAGTGTTGGGACAGAGGTCCACTGCAGGTGCCCTGCTATGCTGTGACCTGCATAGTGTCAGTGTTGGGACAGAGGCCTATTGCAGGTGCCCTGCTATGCTGTGACCTGTGTAGTGCCAGTGTTGGGACAGAGGTCCACTGCAGGTGCCCTGCTATGATGTGACCTGTGTAGTGCCAGTGTTGGGACAGAGGTCCACTGCAGGTGTCCTGCTATGATGTGACCTGTGTATTGTCAGTGTTGGTACAAAGGTCCATTGCAGGTGCCCTGCTATGCTGTGACCTTTGTAGTGTCAGTGTTTGGACAGAGGCCTATTGCAGGTGCCCTGCTATGCTGTGACCTGTGTAGTGTCAGTGTTGGGACAGAGGTCCACTGCAGGTGCCCTGCTATGCTGTGACCTGTGTAGTGCCAGTGTTGGTACAGAGGTCCATTGCAGGTGCCCTGCTATGCTGTGACCTGTGTAGTGTCAGTGTTGGGACAGAGGCCCATTGCAGGTGCCCTGCTACGCTGTGACCAGTGTTGGGACAGAGGCCCATTGCAGGTGCCCTGCTATGCTGTGACCTGTGTAGTGTCAGTGTTGGGACAGAGGCCTATTGCAGGTGCCCTGCTATGCTGTGACCTGTGTAGTACCAGTGTTGGGACAGAGGCCCATTGCAGGTGCCCTGCTATGCCTGTGACCTGTGTAGTGCCAGTGTTGGGACAGGCCTATTGCAGGTGCCCTGCTGCCTGTGACCTGTGTAGTGCCAGTGTTGGGACAGAGGTCCATTGCAGGTGCCCTGCTATGCACCTGTGTAGTGTCAGTGTTGGGACAGAGGCCCATTGCAGGTGCCCTGCTATGCTGTGACCTGTGTAGTGTCAGTGTTGGGACAGAGGTCCACTGCAGGTGCCCTGCTATGCTGTGACCTGTGTAGTGCCAGTGTTGGGACAGAGGCCTATTGCAGGTGCCCTGCTATCCTGTGACCTGTGTATTGCCAGTGTTGGGACAGAGGCCTATTGCAGGTGCCCTGCTACGCTGTGACCTGTGTAGTGCCAGTGTTGGGACAAATGTCCATTGCAGGTGCCCTGCTACGATGCAGCTGGAGTAGCTGCTGTCAAGAGCATGTGGATCAATCAATAGAGGGTGTGTGGTGGTGATAAGTCTCTCTCACAGCCTTCGCTAATTAAATCTACTTGTCGAGTTGAGTTCGTTGCTAGATGAAAGAAAACAGCATGTACACCCATTTCTAACTTTTTTGATTTGAGCTTGAATATTGATGAGAAATCCCTATGGAATTAGATGCCATATTTAATCTGTTTTCTTTACCCGTACAATCAAGGTAGGCAGGCTGTCCACAAACTGCACTCTGGCATTAAGCACATGATAAAAAGTCACTGTGGTCCTTTGATCTCACAGGCTGCATGATAAAAAACCCTGATCTTATCGAAATTGTAAGCAAATGAGAAAGACTTGTTTGCAGATGAAATACTTTTTAACGTATGAGTCACCTGATCTTGTGGTTTTATCTCAATATGACATTTGTTCTATATCCTGCTGGACTTCCATCAGTAGAAGCTTAACTTGTGTTTTGCCTTTTACATATTTTAAGATCAAACCATGAGCTAAAACCAACTAAACAATATTTAAAAAGTACATCAAGGAAAAAGCCATAATTCCAAATGCATATGTTATATGTTTTTTCTGTTTCAGGATCCATTACCCCATTAAACCTCAAGCCACCTTCAGGACCTCAGCCCCCGAGGTGAGTCAGATTGGACACATATAGTAAAGGAAATCTGTCCTAAATCCATCAATTTCTCTTCTCTAATTTTTTTCCTCAAATGCTAGACAAGTTTTGTGAAAATCTGCATTGATATTTGTTTACTGAATAATGTTATACCATGAAAGTCATTTTGCAAGACTTTTTTATTTATTACTTGTTTATATACTGTTAAATGATGGTGATACAGTTGTCATGAGTGGCATCAGCTGGCCGTTTTTATATGGATTCAAACCAGAGATTCTTACTTTTGATGGTCCTCAGTGCCCATTGGTTTTAGAGTTGTCATAAGTGTGGATTCTGTGTTTTTCTTCAGGATTGCCTCCAGCATTAGCGGAGACAGCATCATATTACTGAACTAAGAACAGAAATTATAAACAACTCATGAATGAATGAATGAACATAAATTATAAACAACTCATGACTGACTGACTGACTGACAAACTTGACCACCAGAGTGGAATTCCTTACTATTGTACAGTATGTAAAGCCAGGTTTTGGCAGCATGGAGTGGCGTTAAACAATACCCACTCATTCAGTCACTCATATTATGAAAATACCAGAAAGATTTTGTAAGTGTTTGTTCCACACGAGGACATTGACACCCCAAGGAAAGTATAGTTTGCGACATTTAGTGAATGACTTGATGAATATATCTCAATATATTTAGGCATTTTGATGTGTCGCACAGCGACTATTAGCTCCCTTAAAAATATCTCATCATATGCAAAGGTGATTTAATAAAGGTTTTTTCACACGAACCTGTTGATCAGACTGGCTGTCACGTATCACGTGACATAACATGCTGTTGGATATGGTAGCAGGTGTGAGGAGCACTTGGCTACTCCTTATGGTGGGGCGGTGAGGTTGCCTAGTGGTTAAAGCGTTCGCTCGTCCCACCGAAGACCCGGGTTCGAATCCCCAGGTGGGTACAATGTGTGAAGCCCATTTCTGGTGTCCCCTGCTGTGATATTGCTATAATATTGCTAAAAAAGCGGCATAAAACCCAACTCACTCACTCTCACTATGGTGGTCCTGGGACATGTTGCTGGAACCACTTGGTTACCTCCCCTTGGCGGTGTATGAAAGTTGCGGAACTGTCGTAACAAATGAAGATTTACTGATTCATTCTGTTATAATGATACACATACCCCACTGTCCACAAGTACACATTTACTGACATATTCCATTAGTGTTACGTTTACACTATCAGAGTATCGATGCCAGTTTTTAAGTAATTGAAACAGATATCAAATATTTTTTAACATCCTAAGATATAATCAGTTTCAAAATATTTCTTGCTCTGTTAGGAAATTGGTAATGTCAAACACTTTAAAAGTTTGTATTGCAGATATATTTTATATATGACTTCAATTGTAAGAAAAGCTTTTCATAAAACACACTTTATGGCAATGTAAGTGTAATGCAAAGAAAGCTAGTGGTGGATTTGGAACGAGTCTGTGTCTCTGTCAGTGTCCACATCAGATATGTGTTTCCCTTTGTAATATGTAATTAGGATATCTTTTTTTTTTGAGGGGGTGGTGTGGGGTAGTGGTGGTTGTTGTTGTCTTATGACTTTGCAGGACCTTGAGGGTAGAGTGAGTTTTCAAAACATAACTTGCAACCTGTTGATTATTACTTTATGAAACTTTGTAAATCACAAAGGCATGTGCCTTCACTATTCAGAAGCATGGCAAATTTTGGGGATGTTGCCATGGCAGCATATTGAACTCAAGACAAATGTGGGATTCATTTCCTGAGTGTAACGCATAAAGAATTCAATGTCTTGATGGCACTTTGTGTTGGCATCAGATATAATGCATGGCACAGCCCTGTGAGGATTCCCAGCAACATTTGCTTCATGTCAGCAGTAACTAAATACATTTGGTGGTGACCGAGGTGACACTGTTCCCTTAGCATCCAATCATCACTGCTTGCCATATTTGTATTTGCTCTTTCATGTTGTTTTGTTTTTGGATAATGTTTTCGTATTATTTCAGTAAATACTCATGTTTTATACAATATATTTTTTTTTCAAATATTTTTAATAAGCAATAATTCAACATATACAGGAGCCTTGGATTTTCATCAGAGATAGAATATTTGTCCAGTCACTGCTTCAAATCATACAATGATTTTCTTTGATTTTCCAAACAATTTTTTACAATGTGCTGTTTTACGTACAAGTCCAGTGATCAATTCAATATTATAACTTTCTAAAACCTAAGCCAAACTTATGCCTTTCCTAAAGATCTCTTGTGGCTCCAGTATATTCATTGTTGTTCCAACAGAAACCATCCAGATTTTTACAGTTTTACTTGTAGAAGATATTCCTTGGTGTCCTCAATGATCTATTCCTGTCAGTGGCCATGATCTACATGGCTGTGTCTTGGGCTTGTAGATTAGACAGATTAGTGGCGTAATCCATGCTTAATGACTGAATCTCACGTTCCACATGCCAGGCGGCCTAGAACCAGATATACAAGGATAGTGCTGAGGTCAGTACAGCCGGGCATTAACAGTTTCAGACTGGTTCCTAGTCCAGGGCCTCATTCCTCAAAGCGATCATAGTGCTTCACCTGTCGTAAGTCTATGTTAAAGTATGGGAGTTACGATCGTCTTAGGGTTACGACTGCTTTGAGAAACGGGGCCCAGAACTGACTGGTATTCAAGCAATTTGAAATGTTTGTTTGAAAATTTAGTATTTTTGTACAGGTGTGTATTTACAATGGGTACTTCTTGTGTTTTTCTTTTATAAAGGTCAATTTCTCCAGACTTAAAAAGTACAAAAATATGGGTCAATATCTGTACTTTTGTGTGACATTTTTGGGACAGGATATGCTCAGCTTGTGTCCTCACTAGATGGTTGTAAATCATGAAATAAAGACTATGAAACCCTCTCCATATTTATAGGAAATCTCTATCAAGAGTGACTGAGCTTAGTTATATGCCGGTTTAAGCAATATTCCAGCAATATCATGGCGGGGGACACCAGAAATGGGCTTCACATGTTGTACCCATGTGGGGAATTGAACCGAGGTCTTCAGTGTGATGAGCAGACACTTTAACCACTCATGAGGGTACCCCACTGCCCCTCTACCAAGAGCAGAGTCGATTGTAAATTTTTCATGTAAAGAAAACACAAATTTTGATCCTGGGATCGCTTGTGCTTTATATGAATATCTATAAATATATAAACATTTTAAAAATGTGTAGAGATCTATTCTGTGTTTTGCAGTATTTGGCCAAAGGCGCACAAGAATCAAATCAAGTTGTTCTTGATCTTAAGGCATGAGATAATCAAACACAATAATGTTAACCTTCTAACCGTGTACACGCCTTCCCGATCTCTTCGCTCGCAGGATAAGAACTTGCTTGTTGTACCTAAAGTAAAGACAGTGCAGTATGGAAACAGGTCCTTTGTCCACGCAGGATCAATGGCCTGGAACAGTCTGCCACAGAGTCTCAGAGACTGTTCTGACTTTCATACCTTTAAATCCAATCTAAAAACACACATGTTCAAGACAGCCTTTGAACTGTAGCTCTTTGCCTTACCTGCATTTTATTTGTGCGCTTTGAGCATGCATAAGCATGGATATATGCGCGTTACAAATATGCTATTATTATTATTATTATTATTGTTTGGGTTCGAATTCAATTTTGATGAGTTTGAAGATGGACTTGAGCTCAAAGCACATCCTTTCTGATTTGGTGTTGATTGTGTGGTTACAAACTACTTCAGTATATATACCATTAATCATTGTGGTGACATCCCTTGAAGCCGTGTTATCGGTCTTCTGCACCTTTGGTTGCACTGAACCTTTCAGTTAATTGGAATGAACAAGTGGTGAAAAATCAATTCCAGTTCTTATGATTGTTTCTTCAGTTGGAAAACTGAAACCAACTTTGATTGAATCAATGGAAAGAGCACTACTAATTGCAGCACAAGGATTTCATTGTGTTCCAGCCCGAGGACATATTTTGATTGCATGGGTTTATAGTGTGTGCATGCAAAACGTCCTTTTCAGGTTTTTGGTGACATATGGTCATTTCAATAATGGCGACCTCCTTAGTTCAGTGGAATCCTGGGAAAGCACACACATGCACTGGATGTATAAGTGCAGTTACATACACACATTGGTCATTGTAAGTGCAATAATTTTAAACACGGCGTTGAATCCCATTTCACCTTATCACAGCTATTGATTAATGTCCAAGTAATTGGTTTACATCCTTCGACCACCACATTGAGGAGGAAGTAGTTGTACCTACCTCCTTTAGCAGAAAGTGGTATCTTTACTTGGTTCTCAGGTTATTCAATGCGACAGAGCATATAAGTACTTGACCAGTAAACTCTTGTAGCTTGGTGGTCAAAATATGAGAGTTTGGACTGTCACAAAGATGCGTGGTTGAGCTAGTTGTCACACCCAGGTTTTAGTTCCCTACTTCACACCTATGGTTGTCATAATCTCTTCACTTTACCAAGACTCTCGGGCAAGACTCTTGCTCACAACTGCAAATGAAAATGTGACTTTGATGAGAAATATCATCAATTTCACATAGAATTTCAATGTGTGAATTTTCAATGAATGTGTTAACCTTCTATGTGAGTCGATGTTGTCTAGAACTATCCAGCTGACCCTAGAGTGACCTTACCATGTTTTACCAATGATTCCAATTAGGGTAATTCTTCCACTTCCCTTCACTTTACCAAAACTCTTGGACACCTTTTGGTCTCAGAAGGTCTGCTTTTGTAGAATTAGGTCCATAAATTAGTGTTTGACAAAATACAAATACTTGGTCATCATGTTCACTACTTCGAAGAAAGAAATTACCCTGGAAGTGTATCGCTGTGACTTTTTATACATGTATTGAAGGGGCCCATGTCACTCAAGGATATAATTATTAAGATCTCCTATCTGCTAAGAGTGTCTCACATCCCTTGGGAACTTTTTAACTGTTGACATGGACCATTTCACATA